TTGCTTTGGCTACATCAGGGTTTGTGGCTGTAGACAGCTTTTCTGCTTCGAAAGTGAATGCCTCCTCATCCCATTCTGGGAAAGTCCACATGTGCAGAGTGTGTGGACCTTGGCTAAGAAGGGATCTGTGGTCAATCAGCTGGAGGTTTACAAAGTATAATACTTGCCCTTTTCCTTTCTGGTAATCTGATGCTTTAGAGGAGTTCGACTTTGTGTCCTTGGTTGACATGCCTTCAACAGTACTGGCATTAATTGTGAGGCCTAATTTAGCTCCGTGAGGGATATCCCTGATCAGAATGTCAAATTCCAGCCAGGTGTTCCACAGCACTTCATCTGTAAACTCTTTTGAAGTCGAACAAACCGATGACACAGTCTTTCTACCGTAGATTATGGTGGCTTCCACTTGGACAAGTGGTGGTACCTTACTTGGGAGTTCTGGGATATCAAACCCTAGGAGTTTAACCCTGAACTTTCTTTCACAGTCCCAGAGGGAAATCATCACAATGTCCTCTACTTTCTTCTCTTTAAGGGAAAGCTCCTTGTGGGAGGTTGAGAGACCAGTGAGACTGTCCACCAGTGGCCAGTACTCTCTACCTACTGTGTTATCTGGAAGGGATGAGACGGCAACCACTGAGAGATGAAGCTCCAGCATGTTTTCAAGGCAGTGTCTGACCCACAGGTAGTCAGAAAGCTGGAAGTCTTCACTCAAGAATTCCTCTCTGCCACACACCTTGAGCACATAATCAACCGACCATCCTTCGAATGACAGGTCCTCCTTTGGCAATGATTCCCAGAAGATTTTGAGGAGATCACTGGGGGTATGTGTCACGTCAGCTTTAATGGAAAGGACTGAACTATTATAATAAAGAGTCACTGAGAGTTTTGACTGAAGGTAACCTTGCTGGTCGTTTGGAAGCACTGTGGAAGTTATCCACGGTTCAGTGGCATAAGTTACTGGATCCCGCTTTTTCAGTTCTTCCCTTCTTGGTGTGGCAAACTTTCTTCGGGTATAGCCTAGCTCACTTAAACGATTAGTGTCTGAGGAGTCCAAATCATAGCCGATTAGCTCGTTCAGAATGCCCTGGAAGTGAATTCTCTCCTTAGAGGTGGTTTTCTGAGCCAACACAGTGACACAGACAGTCTGAAGACCATCAGCACCCTGAAACCAGGGTGCATCCAGAGTTTTCAATACCTGATAGTCGTCATAAATTTCATACCACTCCTCCTCCTTGTGGTACAACAGACTGTATCGTTCTGGGTCCAGAAGTGCAAATGGCTCTGAAAGTCTGTTATTCTCCTGTGCTACCATACACAGACGCACACGAAGCTGGTGGACGCTGCATTGCGCTGGGAGCTTGATCTGAACGGGCTCCTGGCTGTCCAGTAACTGGATACCTTCCCTGACTGGTAACTTGCAAATAAATACAAGGTTGTTATCTGAGCAAGGTTCCTGTTGCTGGTGTGCATCCCATTTGTTCTCCATGGGTGCTGGAATGGAAGTTAACATGAGCACATTTAACTATTTTAGTGAAGTTGTAAGATTAGGGTCTTTTCAAAAGAGGCAGTGACTTGTGCTGTTTGTGGTACAGAAATGAATTATTTCAACTTGCATCCTAGTTGGGGTGAGGGATAAGTTGGGCCATGACTGAGGTAAATTTTTATTCATAATTGGAGTGGTGCCTGCACTTGCTAAACTCCTATTGTGATGCTAAGGTGCTTTGACTGGTTGCCAGGGCAGGTGTTAAGTTTTAGATTGTTGCTATGCAGTTGCTTGGATATTGAGCAAAGTTCAAGGGACAAAACATATGGAATTCAAAGAGAGTGTCTCCTGTAATATGTAATGTGACATATTTCTGCATATTTTCATATGAAAAATAAAACCAAGGTGAAGTTATTGTCTTGGTGAGACTATTTTACATTCCACCCTTTGCTGATAGATATGAATGTTGCTTCCTCCTTTAATTTCCCGTTTGTGAAAAAAACAATATTTTCTTTAATTCTAAAAATCCTGGATAATTTTTCTTAAAAGTTTATTTTCACAGTGCTAGTGATTTTATATGTCGGTAAATTGCCAACATGTACTGTATATTTTGTGTGTGTGTGTGTACATTTGTTTTGACACAAAACCCACTGGACAATGTATATAACTGACATGCAAAACAAAAAAAACAAAAAATAAAAAAAATATATAATATAACAAAAATTATGAGTTTAGAAGATACACGGGGTGGCTCAACCTAACACTGCAATGTGTAATTAAAAATGCATTTTCATTTTTACATTGGTATCATTCTTGCCTCATTTAAAGAAAAAATAATAATAAAAAAAGAATATACCAGTTGCACCTGTCTTCAAATAAATACAGTTTTTAGTTTGAGGTAGATGGCTGCAAAGGTTTTTGCAACACACAAACTGGTTCTGCCAGCCACTCAAGAAGAATGTATCATTCTTAAACCTTGCCCCGCTGTGCTAAAGACTACAGACTGTAAGTACTATATTGTATATTCCTCCCAAAAAGTTGTTTGTTTTACAACAATTACAATACCAACTGAATGTCAACTTATGTTGTATGATTACAATGAATCCGAAAATTGCACTCACCTATACAACTTGTGTGTCTTTGGTTTCAGGTCAGTTTCTGTGGCTTGTGTGTGAGCTACAGTTCAATTTCCCTGTAATGCATTAATGTGAAGTGACTGATTGCACAACAACTCATCACTTCCTCATTCCTTTGTCTTTCTGCACCTGTGAGGAAGAACGTTTTGATCACTTCATGCTTATTTCTTTTGTTGGTTTCATTTAATTCAGAATGGATTTTCCACGCCCAAATTGTTTTGTTTAATTGTTTTAAATAGTTATTTTCTATTATCTTATTACCATCTCTCTGTTTTTAAACCACAACGTTAATATTAGTTTAAATGTTCATCAAGAACTCTTATAATTAAAAGAGGCTTTATATATGGAGAACTTGAACTGAACAATAACTTTAAAATGCTAAGGTAAAAAGTTACTCTCTTTAATCACTAGAGGGAGCTCACCAATAACTATCTATAGTAGCCTATAGTTGCAATGGCAACCACCAACTGTTTGATTACCAGCAATCTTCAAAATATCTTCTTTTGTGTTAGAAATAAGAAAGCAACTCATACAGGTTTGGAACGACATGAGGGTGAGTAAATTATGCCAGGATTGTCATTTTTGGGTGAACTATCCTTTTAAGCAGAACCTGTTGGTTTTGCCACTTTGGTTTTCACACATTTTGCCAGAATGAAAATGGACTTTAAAATAAACATTTCATCCTCATTTGAATTATTGCCATTTTCCCATCCCTTGTTTAGCCTGATCAGATTTCAGATGCAGATGCACGTTTCAAAAAGTGTCAAATGCTGCAGTAATGTAGCATGTTGTAATACATGCAGCAACACCAACCTTTTTAATCACTGTCGATGCAGTAAATGATAATGATTATAATAAAATGGCCCATTTGGTCAAATTAAAAAAAGATGTTTGGATGAAAATGTGAGTGGTGCTTGAAGTGTGAAGCTGTGCTGTTGCTAAGGTGTTGTGTTTGTTAGTGTCTTGCTATGTGGTCTTGCTACGTGCTCTTCTCAGGTTTTTCCATAATGCGGAAGTAACAGTCAGTCGAGTCCAGTTAATGGATTTGCCACTTCCAGCAGATTATTAAGCACAGGAACTGCAGGTATCAGACATATCAATGGAGACAGTCTAGAGATATAAAGTTTAATAGAGTATTTTTTATTATTTTGCACCAAATAATTATATCATTATATCTCACAGATACATATTCCTTTGCACATTAAATTTAGCAAAAAATTGTACATTTCTACTCGAATTTCAACAAAACCAAAGAGAGTGGAAAGAATCAACAGTGTCTTCATAATGCATAAATGAGCATCTTACATAGATGAAAATTCATTTTTGTCACAATAAATAAACAATCAAATAAATATATAAAATGTAACAAAACATGATTCTCTCCTTCATCTGTTCACATTTACATCTCTATTTTTTTTCCCTCACAAGTTTTAATTTATGAAGCCACTGTATTAGTCTCTGCAATTAAACCCTGATATTTTATACTGACATATAGAAACGTATTTCACCTTCACTCATTTCTGCTATATATTCTGCATATATGCCTTCTTCCAGTACATCTGCATTCTAGGTAATTATTAAGATTATCAACACAATTATATTTCACAGCTTTAGGCATATGCATATGTTGTCATGGTTATATACAAGCTGTCAGATATGTACTTTAAACATTGCACTGAGTACATGAGCATCAGCAGGACCATCTATGAAATTCACAGACTTTGAGTGTTTTACTTCCTTTCTTGTCAAAAATAGACTAAATAATATAGTTGGTTAATAGTACGCAATCAATCATATATTTAAAATATATAAATATAGATGATACTTTACAATAGGCCTAACTTTTACAGCATTTTTATTGTTGGTTAATGCTAATTATCTCTTAACAATGTTTTAAAATGTCAACTTTAACTAAAAAAATAATAAATGTGTTATGTATTAATTTAATCAATTAAATTATGAACAAACCAGAATTAACAATGAACAATAGTTTATTTATAAACTTACACAAACCTACATTAATAAATGCTATTAATTCATGATGCGTAAACTAAACAAATTCATGTTAAGTGTAATCTAATTATATTAACATAGAAACTTCATAAGGAGATGCATGTTTTATGTGAACAAAAGGCACATTACATTTGAGTCAGATTTACTGTTTTGCATTCAAAATATCTTTCATTAAAGTTTTATATTGTGGGTTATATTAATCTTACAATAAACCATGCGATCCAGACTTACACATTACACACTCATCTATCCTATTTCCACTTCAGCCAGGGATGCTAACCTCTGAGGGCTCAGTTAACAAGCATTTCTGAAAATATCCTGAATCATCTCAAATAGAAGATGCGACTTCCTGGCTTTAACCCTGGTCTCGCTTACCGGTTGTTTCTCCTCCAGCACAGCAGCCTGGGCAGGGCTTCCCTCACCTCTCTGTTGCGCAAACCGTAGATGAGTGGATTAATGCAAGGAGGCACCTGAAGCATCACCAGCAGCATGATGTGTAGGGTTCCTGCCGACATCCAGTCTCCAGGGTAATCCAGCGAACGGATCATTGCAATGTTGCCCTCGAATTCCCACAGAGCATCCGAGACTATCTTCAGAAAGATGGGGAGCAGCTGAAGCAGCAGCATGGAACAGTAGAACATCACCGTTTTGCGTGCCCTCTTGTTGACCTGCTGGAAAGGCTGAACGGCATTGCGTGCCTCCTGATACATGCGCAGGTACGAGAAGGAGTAGGAAAAGATGCAAAGCAGTGTCACCAAAAGCCCAACTACTTTTCGAAACACTGCAGAGCCTCGTGGAAAGCCAAGGTGGGCCTCTAAGGTGTCCGGCTCACAAAGGAGTCCCGTAATGGGTTTCCCCACCAATGAGCTCTTGTGCCCTAAACTGAGCAAACCTGTGATCACTGCCGATAAGCATATTGAAATAAGCCATGTGAGACCGACTATGAGGTAGAGGCGCTTGGTGGTTAGTATACTAATGTAGTAGATGGCCTGGCACACATATAGGTAGCGCTCAAAAGCCATGCAGGTGATAGTAAGCACAGTGCAGAAAACACAAACAGTGTTAATAAAGAACTGAGTGAGGCACCAAGCTCCATAAGGCAGCGTGGTCTTCTGCAGCAGACAGTGTGCCACTGTTGGACCTTGGGTTACAATGAGTAGGACGTCACTTACTATGAGGTTCTTCAGCAGGGCAAAGCGTGGCTCCCAGGATAGGTCTTCTGAACTGCCAAGACTGAACAGAGTGCAGCCGTTGACGATAAGTGAGATGATGGTCATCAACGCAAAGACACACACCAGTGCCTGCACAGCTGTATCTGACGGCAGGATGGATCTGAAGAGGCAGCGTCCCTGGTCCAACAGCTGGAGGGCGTCTGAAGTGATGTTGGCATCCTGGCTTGGACTCGGACACGCGTAGACTGCAGTCCATAGAATGGCACATGGTAAAGCACGTGTGAAACACATTATGGGCGAGGACGTGCACTTTTATGACAGCTTTGGGAGTTTGGCAACGTGGTGACTGATGTTCGCATTTGTTGCGCCTGCACGCGATGTGTCTTCAGAAAAGATGCAGACAGGTGAGTGACTTGAATGAAGGTGGGGCTTAAAGTCACTCAAAGAGGCATGCCTCTCGTAAAAATAACCAGTTGAAAGAGTTCGCCTCGATTGTCCGTTAAGACTGTTAAATTGTTAAATCCGCAGAGGAGTAGGCTATTAGGTTGTAATCTATAATCAAGGATTTTTTGCTTTCTGCCCTAAAAATAAAGTAAAATAAAGAAAATATTTTAATGTTTCTTGATGTTATTCATTGTAATGGACAAAAATGTAAAATTAATAGCTAATCCATCTACAAACTTAACTCTAAATTCGTTTAAAATGTTTAATATTAATCCAATATGCAATTAGAATAATCTATCATTTGATTTGAAATAGATTAATCATTTGATTCATTTGTTTACATTTTTTGAATACCCTATTTAACCAACTTAATGAACTTTTTTTTGATTGACTGATTATGGGTGCAATTAAAGTATATGTTCATATTTGTCAAAAAAAAAAAATCGGGTTTACAATAAATACAAAAGTACACTTACTATATTCACCAGTTCAAGTCACTCCAATCACAACAGAAGTGTAAAGTCATCTTTTGTGATGATTTTCGTGTATCATGGAGTTGACATTCAGTCAGAATTGCCATAAAATGTGATTTGCAACTGTTTTGTTAACTTAATATATCAAGTCATATCAGTTCAAAGATCCCACAAATGGTATATAATTGATGTCTGTTATTCGATAATGTTATTCGATTTAATTTGTATGACGTTTGTAATAATTTATTCACATGAGACTTTTTCTGCGCTTGATGCTGCATGCTATATAAACAAAATCTCGGTTAAGAGTTAAAATGCTAGTTAACTTTATTCAAGCACAACGTCTGTCCAACGTGCAGACTGTTAAAATAAAACACAATTAACATAGTAAAATAAAAAATAAAAACTCTGTATGTAAATAGCCTATATGGCATTTATTGTCTTCGTATTTGATTTCGTCTTCTCTTGTCAATAATAGAAGCACGATAATGAAAAAAGATCAAAATGTTAATAGAAGTGATTTAAAATAGAGTGAACTCATGGTGGTGAAAGGATGCCGGAAGAGTTGTCACAGCTTGAGGTAAGCGATTGTTCATATACCCTTGCGTTGTGATTGACAGGAGTAGATGAACACGCTATCCCCAAACCTGTTTAGAATTTTTTTCTTCATGTACAGAAAACAAGGGGAAAAGCCAAGGTTTACAAGCAACATTGATTTATCACACTCGTGTAGTCAACTGATAAACCAAATCATGTTGTTCAAAGGATATTGATCAAACATAATCATATAGGCCTATCGACTGGCTTGTATTGCATTCAGTGGTGCAATTATTGTAGAATCAATGAACACTCTTGATAGAAAACAGGGTTTTAAGGAAAGGACAAGAGCAGGGGCGTTCACTGCTCTCTCCTTATTTAGCTTGCAACACATCTAGTTGTTCTCCAAGATTCAGCTGCTGTGCTTAAGAATGTCCAAGAATAGAGCGAAGAAGAGAAGAGAGTGTTAGGCAGAGTGGCTGGAACGAGAGGTTGACAGTTGCTGCTGTCAATTACCTCAGCTTAAACGTCTTTTAAGTCTTTAAGGGTGACATCAGGCACTCATGAAGAATAAATGCTTGTTAACTGAGTCCCCAGAGGTTACCTATGTGCAGCAGCCCCACCAGTACACTCTGCCTTATGGACTGGATGGGGGCTGGATTAGAATCAGTGATGACAGGACACTCACTCTGCCCTGAGTGATTTGTTCATTTAAGTAAATCTATCCGTAATGAGTAAACAGCTATTCTGATACTCAAAGTCATCCTCATAAGTATATGGAAACTTTTTTATTTATAGAGGTTAGTGAGATTAAAAAGGTTGAGAGACTGAGGGAGTATGTTTGTTTGTCTGTTTTGTCCAAGAAAGGTGGGGGGGGGGGGGGGGGGGGGGGGGGGCAATGCTATAATATATGAACAGGTGAATGTGGGAATCATATCTATCCATCTATCTATCTATCTATCTATCTAGCAGTCTGATACCTGGCCCTCAATATGTCAAATTCTGATAATAATATAGATAATAAGGAGAAAACTGCATGCTCATAAGATAATAGACAGCCTTCATCACATCCAGACCAATAAGGAGAATAAGTGGGCTTTCACTGGAAAGGAAGTTGGCTTTCATTACTTTTCTTGCCACAGGCATTGCTGCTGGATTAGAAAAAAATGTTAAAGATGTATAGAACAATTTTAATTAATCATTTTCAAATATCATACTGTGTACATGCGTGTTAGATCCAGTTGCTTTACTAGATATCTCTCCCATCAGTAGATACTGTATGAAATTTTGTCTGATATCCAAAAGCAAGGCAGCATTGTTTCAGACACAGGTTTGTGCCTTTAATTGAGACCATGACACAAGTCTACATTTGGCTATGACATCTTTACACATCATGACTTCGATTTTACTGTATTACAAGTTGAGTTACAAGTGTTTGTAAGTGATGGGTGTGGGTGTGTTAAGCATGTGGATCAACACTATCTATGAAGACTCTTCTTTTGAGTAGATATATTTGCAAAGCCTACGAAACTCTAGCAGTCTGAGGATTATTGGGAGAAACTGGATAAGGCATGGAAGGGTAATGATGACGAGCCTTAAGAATCTGACAAGGTCACTACTTCTGCCGTCACATCGAAGAAAATATAAACACTAGAGTGGGAAAAAGCAGTACTGTTCACGTAGGAGGAAATGCATTAAGGGACAGTTCACCTGGAAATGAAACTATTCATTTCTATTCTATGGGACACTATTATCACATGAGGTTAAGGGTAGAAGTGTTTAGCTTCACCATGCTTGCCATAAACACTTTTTGGAGTGATCAATTTTAAAGTTTGCAATGAAAAAAAATGCTGTTATAAAAGAAGTCACAGACGAGTTTGTCACATTCATGTGGTATTAACACTTCTCATACATTTTTTATGTCCGCAAACAGTGATTGACTGTCTTACAACTCTGACTGCAGTTCAGTGACATCATGTGATTAGTTATCAAGGCACATGTAATCCAACAATATTAAAAATAAAGGTTCCAAAAGGAGGCTTTTGCAGTGATTCCATAGAAGAATAATTTTGGGTTCCCCAAAAAACCTTTTAGTGAACAGTTCTTAAAGGAACTTTTTATTAGTGTAAAGAACATTTTATTAATCTAAAGAACTTTTTATGCAATGGAAAGATTCCATGGAGGTTAAAGGTTCTTCATGGAACCATTGATGCCAATAAAGAATTTTAATTTTTAAGACTGAAGTTAACTATTAAGCTTTCTCCAGTGGTAGAGCCATAATGGTTGATAGATTTCATTCAAACTACACAAATGAAGTGTTTCTGAAATTGTATGCTGTCTGAATATGAAGGCCTACTACATTTCATTAGGAACAAACTTTGCAACCCTTGTGGTTTATATGAATGTGTGTAATATGAATAAAATCCAGACTTGTACAAAATTTTCTCTGTGGAAGTAGTTGGTCATCCATGGACTAAATTTCTATAAACTCTATGAACTCAGACATACCACCCATGTCACATGCTGTTTTTCACCTTCTAGTAGGAGAATAGGCATATTCAGACGCAGTGATTCATACTTCACAGAACTTTTTTTTTTACAGTCGCAATGTTCATTCCTCATCAAATGTAGTACACTCTCGTTTCATACAAATGCAACTTGTACCACCTTGCGTCTCAGTTATCGTTTGTAGTGAAAATTAGCTCAGAGGACTTTAGGTTTAAAGGACTTTAAGCTTTAGTTAATGTAGTTACAGGTAACATTAGGAACCAGTTTTTAACACCACACATATTTGTTTATTTGGTGAGTACTCAATCAGAAATAATGGTACAAAAGATGTCACTGGGGCAGTACCCTTTCAAAAGGTAAAATTTTTATATTAGTACCTAAATGAAAGGGTACCTCCCCAGGGACAGATTTTGTATCTTTTTTGAGAGTGTAGCTGGATAATAAACCCCTTCAGAGTGATACAATGACCAACTGACTGTGAAGCCTCATTATCATATTGTGATTCACTGTTTCTTAATATGTTTCGATCTGATGCAGATGTAAGTGAGCCGGTCAGTATAGACAGGAATACGCAGCCAAATTGACTGCTAGATGGTAAGATTGACAGATAAGGTGGAGAAGCACAGTCACAAGGGTGAGGGAACAAATCCAACCTTGTGTGTGGAAGTAGCCAGCATCTGCTTCTGGAATCTATTTATCCACTGCTTAAATAACCTTGCATTGCTTTCCTTATTTTTTTATTTATTGGCAGGGAAATGTCGTTGAGACCACTTGTCCATCCTTCAGCTAAATATGGGGCACTGGATTAGAAAGGGATGAAGAAAAAGGGTGGGGCTTTTTTAAGGCTGAACAGACATTGGTTGACAAGTTCAGTCTCTAGAGTTTCTCGTCCAATCCTGGCCATTTTCTTGAATAGTGAGAATAATAGGAGGTCTTATTAGGGGAGTCTGGAGACATATGTTTAGGAGGAAGGCTGCTGGACAGAAGACTGTTATTGTTTTCAGATACGCTTTGATCTCAATAACGAGCTATCAATATGGTAAGATTTCTGGAAATAAGTAGATATGGACGAGATGCTTTAGTCAGTCTTTGTATGATCACACAGAATGGATTCATACTTATGACAGGACAATTTTCTAGAAGATCTTGAAGAGAATAAACAAGTGGATATGTGCAGGTTTACTTGGTCTAAGCCTCTACTTGTTCTAACTCAATGACTTTACGTTGATTTGGTCATACTGAATAATATTTTACTTGAATAAAACCAGTTTGCATAGATGCTACACATAAATCACATTCTGAGTGTAGAACTGTATATGTTAATATTGAGCCTGGACGAATATAAGGCTTAAATTTCATGAGTCTTTTTGGCTTGTTGTGTTTTGCAAAGATGTTTACAGTGCAATTAATATTTATAGCATCACTACTGTTACGTATTTAGTGTGTTTTCTAGTGATTGACAAGTGACTAATTTTCTTTGCCTGTCATGTATGCTAGTGTTAGTGTTCGTAGTCTCTGGATACATGTGGTAATCCACATCATCAAAGAGAGGGAATTTATAGGGTTTGATTACAGTGCTGAGACTATCATGGTCCTTTGACATTTGCAGTGTCATTCTGTGATTCCTCCTGAGAATGTGCATGTGAACAACAGGATTCTGACTCTAGAAGCGGAATGTATATTCATGTTGGTATAAAATAGCATTTTTACACAAAACCAAAGCAAGAACAGGCAAAAAAGAGATCATTAATAAAAGAAATGGATTAATTAGATTATTAAGTGTATTAAGTGTCCACCTTCAGGTTACCTTGAAAGTATTTTGACATTCAGTCTATACATAAAAATATATGAATCTCATTGCATTAAATAAAATATCAAGCCAATTGCTTAATTTCATTAAGTATGATAAAAGCACCAGCATTATTTGTTTGCAAATTTGATCTGATTTGATATTTGATATTTACTGCAGTGATAATCTTACACTTTTACACTAATGGTGTTTGATAATTTCAAGTTTATTTGTATAGTGCTTTTCACAATACAAATCGTTGCAAAGCAACTTTACAGCAGATTAAGTTTCTACAATATTTAGTGGTAGCTTATCAGTGGTGACTGTCAGTTAATGTACATATGGCAGAAATGTACGGAAAAATCAATTAAAGACGTAATCAAACAGACGATGAACACTATCAACAGTAATTATTATATGATGCAATCAAACTTATAGCAAAATGTGGTAGTTCAATATGTTGTTTCAGGGTTGGCATCATCCAAGGTCCTCTGAGGGGTTGGCATCATCTCTTCTCAGGTGTTCTGGATCCAGACTGAAGCTTGTGTAAATCCTAGTTACCACGGGATGTCAATCCTGTGGCAAAAACAGTGTAAATCCTAGAGACATAATTAGCGTAGCTGCTGTTCCAACCAAGCAAAATTGATTTGTTTAACCCAAACTAAAGAATAATAATGTGCATTTGATCAGATATAACTGCAGTACAAGATTATGAGATGCATTATTCGAATGCTTGTCATATTGTTGTTCCTGTCTGCTCTTTGTCATTAATATTTCTGGAAATATATTTTCCTAGCTTAATCCAAGGCTAGGAACCCCCTGTGAAGCTTGTCCAGTTCCAAATAATGAATGAACAAAGTAATTTAAAATGTTCAGTCTGATTTGTGAATGCCCCATGAGGCTTTTAGTATATTGCAATCTCTTTTTCTCATTAGCCCACTGATGCCCAGATAGACACCCGCTCTTTCCTGAGTGAGGAAATGATTGCTGGTGTGTGAACTTTGACGATCTCTACATGATTTTGCTCATTCAGAACAGTTGATTCAGATTGCTTTCCTTTAAGTGGTGAATTGTTAATGTCTTTTTTATTAAATCTTATTATGCAGCTTTTCACAAAGTTTTCAAATCTTGAAATGAAAATATAATACTGGAAAAAATATTGAGATGAAGATGGTAAGACGGGTTGTGACCCAAAAATGGACTACATTAAATAAGGGTTCACATGCAATAAGCTGGGACAGTTCACTCCTAAACCTGTATGAATTTCTTTATTCTGGTGAACATAATAGATATTTTGAAGAATGTGGGTACCCAAACAGTTGACAGTAGCCATTGACTTCCATATAGTTTGTTCCATACTATGGAAGTCAGTATTTTGAAAATTCTTCAAAATACCTTCAGCAGAATCAAGAAACTAATACAGGTTTGGAACAACATGAGGGTGAGTAAGGCTACGTTTACACTAGTGCGTTTTCGTTTTAAAGCAGCGTTTTAAAATGAAAACGATCCTCATCTACACTTGCGTTTTCACTGCGTTTCAGAAACGTTCTCCGTCCACACTACACAACCGAAAACGCAGGTCACATGACCATTCATGCAGGTACAACAATGTGCATGATGTCATGGTTTACACGGTCGTCAAGGATACGCAGAGCGAATGTGGCCAGCCACACCATCGTTTTCAACAGTCTCCATTTTGGTCCGTTTACACTGAAACGCAACCCGGAGTTTTCAAACTAAAACGGGGTCTGCAGCATTTTCGAAAGTCTCCGTTTTCGAGGGTTGAAAACGCCGGAGTAGTGTAAACGACAGGCGTAACCGTAGCAAAAGTTATGCGTTTTAAAACGAAAACGCACTAGTGTAAACGTAGCATAAATGACAACAGAATGTACATTTTTGGGTGAACTATCCCTTTAAACTTGGTTTGTGCCAACCACACTTCAAAAACCAAATACTCACGCTGTTTTCTGTTCATTCCTGTATGCATTTTAGTCTGTCCCATATCACATCTCAGTTTTGCATTCTCAGGCAGTGGCACTTTTGACTTTGAGGAGTTCTTGGTCATGATGGTGCAGCAGCTAAAAGAAGACCAAGCTGGCAAGAGTGAGGAGGAACTATCTAAATGCTTCCGTGTATTTGACAAGTATGTAATTTGATGTTAACACCGAATTGAACAGCAGTGTGAGGAAAGGTCATTAGGGCCCAAGAAAAAAAACGTACAGTGTACACTAGGGGTGTAACTGTTCTCAGTAAAAAAAACGAACCATACCGTTCTCCACCCACGGTTCGGCACGCACTTGCATTGCGATTCAATTTCTGACAACGCATCTGTAATATGGCTTGTTAAAAATAACACGTAAAGCAGACAGAGTTCGGCTAATATATGTTTCTGTCGATGGATACGCATTCTGGCTTCCCAATAGATTACAACAACTATGAAAAAAAAGAAACGTGGACAAACCAGTCACTCTTTGTAAACTTTGTTCAATGCAAGTGCCATATGCTGGAATACGACCAGTCATTGATGCCATTACCACCCAGGTGTTGATAGTGCGCATGCGCAGGTGAGATCTGAACAGCACACGTTGCAATCTATTTAAACTAAACTCAATTAAGCCTTGCCAGTTTAAACATTCAAGATCCAGAAGACGCGAATGAGAACTCACGAGCGCTGTGAGAAAATTTGTGTGTGCACTCATCAGAAGTGCCAAACCCGCGTCTCAGAGAGCCGTTCTCTTTCAAGACTTGTGCTTGAATGGACAAATTCACACAAATATTATGTCAAAATGCCTGTCTTGGTGAGTTTCCTAACCTAACCCTAGCAGACAGAGTCGGTTGAACGTACAGTATCAGTGTAACTTTACTTGATCCGTGCATTGTCTTAAAGTGACAGCACTTTCTTAATGTTAGTCAAACAACAAAAGACAAGGAAATCACTCACTGCTCTTGATTGAACAGCTTTTGTAACTTTAATAAGGATTAATCTTTAATTTATACAATCAAATATGCAATGTTATTTTACATTTGATAACATTATTCAATTTCTGTACCTAAAAACTAATGTTAGACCTACCTAAAAAAAAAACTGAAAAGCACTTTTTATTTTATTTGTATCTTTACTCTATTGTATTTATTTGTGCTGTTGCTTGTAGTTAGACTATGTATTCTTATTTTTACTTGAAAGTATAGTCCTTTTCCCCCTAAAATACCACATACCGAACCACACCGAAACCGTGACTCTAAAACCGTGATACAAACCGAAACGTGAGTAATTTGAACTGTTGCACCCCTAGTGTACACTACAATCTCCGTGCTCATGGCGTCCCAGACACAAATATTTTAATGATTTTTAAAAGATGAATCACTGTCTGGCCATCTGGGATTTCAGTATGGAGATAAAGGTTAGGATTACACTGTGTTCCAAATTATTATGCAAGTGACATATCAATAGGATTCCAGTACAATAAACAGTCAGATTTTTGTTTGTTTTGATTTTCACATAATTTCAGGTAACTGGTATCAATCTCAGACAGGTTTGTTCAATAGTTTGCCAGGTCTTCTTAGGTAAATGGAAACCCTACTTAAAGAGGTTGTTCCACATTATTAAGCAAGTCGCAGTTCTCAGGCGATATGGTGAGGAAGAAAGATCTTTCTGAAGATGAAAAGTATGAAACAATGCAATGTCTTGCAAAAGGCATCAAAACAAACAATATGTTGTGAAAAGCAAATAGAAATGATTGAACTGTCAAAAGATTTGTGAGTGACTTAGAGCACAGAAGATCTTGGTCAGATAAAGATTTATTAAGTAAAGTTTCTGTCAAACAAATTTGTTCAATGTCAATTGTCATTCATTAATGTATTCAGCTAATAACTGTTCTTCATTTCACCATTTTTTGTTTTACTTCTTTAAGCATTTATTCATGTTCAATGTCCATTGTCATTCAATAATGTATTCTGCTAATAACTGTTGTTAGAACACTGTCATTTTTGCTACAATTTCCCGTCATTAAAAAAAAGTTAGAACCATAGCATTCTGAAGAACCCTTTTATGCTGAAATGGTTCGTTGTGTTACAGTTTATGGTTCTTTGTTCCCGCCCTTTTGTTTTTCAAATCTGTAACTGTCAAAGCAACTCATTACTGATTTTCTGGAGCTCAGGTATTTATAACACCATTAAGATCCTATATAGCATTTTCAAAGCATGGTTCTATATGGAACCCTATAAAAAAGGTTCTATTTAGCACTAAAAAGGGTTCTGCTATTGTTACAAGCCGAAGAACCCTTTTCTGGTACTGTTTAGAAGCATTTTTCTTAAGAGTGTAGTTTTATTCACTTCAGTACAATAGATGGTCCAGATAAATGGATTTCTGATAGTTGATGAATGGCCATCCTATTTCAATGAGACTGCAACATCAGCAAGGAGGCGGTGGGTGATGATTTGAGTTGGAATATTGGGAAGTGAGATGCAAGGTCATTTTAGGGTGTCAAAATGACTTCTGCAAGATATGTGGAGTTCATAACTAACCATTTTCGGCTGTGGTATAAAATGAAGAATAGTGCTCTCGGAAATAAAAGGATTTTCATGCAGGACAACACACTTTCCCATGCTGCATAAATACCATGGTGCTAAACAGTTTAAAATTTGCAAGACATTGCATTGTTTCATACTTTTCATCTTCAGAAAGATCTTTCTTCCTCACCATATCGCCTGAGAACTGTGACTTGCTTAATAATGTGGAACAACCTCTTTAAGTTGGGTTACCATTTACCCAAGAAGACCTGGCAAACTATTGAACAAACCTGAGATTAATACCAGTTATCTAAAAAGATGTGAAAAACAACAAACAAAAATCAGACTCTTTATTTCACCGAAATCCTATTGATATGTCACTTGCATAATAATTTGGAATACAGTGTATAATTTTTGGTACTATTATATCACATTAGCCGTACCGTACTGAGCCGTGCCGAGCCGAGTCGTACCACGCAGTGGAAAAGCGCCATAAGTGTAGCGCCCTCACCACCTGATGAGGGGAGATGTGAATTGTGAATAAAACACAGGACACGGAGCTGCTGCTTCACCATCAGAGTCTCTGTATTTTTTTGAGCCATTAAAAGCCTTGCAACACATTTTATCAAGTTTTTCAATTCAACATAGCTGAAACACGAGTGACATGAGAGCGTTGCAGCTACAGGAAATACATTTTTAACAGGTAACATGTGCATGGTACTTTCCTTTATATTGTTCTTTCAAACATACAAATTGTACAGGTATTCCAATACTTAATACACCCTTTTTACCCATTTAATATATTTTAGTATTTCTTTTAGATTTCAGAGAACTCATAACAGTAACATTTTAGAACAATACTTTTAGAACACACATTTATAACTGATAAACCATTTGTCACATTTCTCACAAATGTTACATTTGTATTTCGTTCAAATACCTTAACATCGTAGTCACTGACTACGAGAACACGTCGTCTCCATCATTAGCATAGAATGTGTGATTAGCACACGCGGTGCACAAACTGGACTCGATACAAACTTTTAAACATCCGAAAACAACCACATATTTACCCTTTAAAGGATCATATCTGCATTTCTCATAACTTCAACATATTAGGAACGCATATACATTTACATTAATTTCATACCTGATGAGGGGAGATGTGAATTGTGAATAAAACACAGGACACGGAGCCGCTGCATCACAATCGGAGTCTCTGTATTTTCGGAGCAGCGCGTCCCCTCCCCAAAACAGGTGAACACTTCCCAAGGGAAAATAATCAAGCAATCAGTGAATCCTTCAAGGCTGAGCAGGGAACATTAATCGTCATAGATAATACATTCTAAAGTGCATTCGGAAAATACATTCACTTGTTTTAAGTTCAGTGTTACTCTAATATAATTTATTTGCTATTTTTCTTAGTTTTACACATTTATTATTATTTTTAAAACCACCACATAAGCACCGTTTGTTGTTTTCTTGTGGCATCTGATAGAGCGTTTGGACCTGAAAGGGGTGATGGATGACATCAGACTTAAAGGGGTCATATGATGCTGCTAAAAAGAACATTATTTTGTGTAATGAAATGTGTTTATGCGGTTTAAAGTTCAAAAAACACATTATTTTCCACATACTGTACATTATTGTTTCTCCTCTATACCCCGCCTTTTTGAAACGCGTCGATTTTTACAAAGCTCATCGGTCTGAAAA